CAGTTGGATTCAGTGATCTCTAACATCTCTCCTGGTCCTCCTATGTTATACGATCTTTTGAGATCCCTAGTGGTTGAAATTTCCAAGTGGAATTTTAACCAATAATTTACCACCTAGGTCTTAATTTCTTCCTATCTATAATGAAGGGTAGTTGCATCATACGGCACCTTGGGTCTCATCCAGATCCAAATTGTATGATTCCAGGCATTGATCTACCTAACCAAAATTTTAAAATAAGGTACTATGAAATGGCAAAATGTAATTATTTTGAGCTTCATATTTATCATTTCTTAAAATTTTCAGTCTTTTCTAATGAGCAGAGAGATGGCTAAAAAGTAAGAAAATAGAGGGGAAAGGTGAAGCAAAGAAGTATGGGTAATTTGTAAACTGAATAATGGAGACAACCCACATTCATTGCTAGTGCAATAATCCCACTAGACCACCCTCAGCAGCCTGTTCACACTGAATCTTCTGCCCTGAATGTGGAATTTCCTAGTTCCTTTCTAAGCACCCACCATATCTCAGTGTACTTTAAATACGTTCTATTTGTATAAATAATGATTGGAAGGGAATAGTGAATAGAGGCTAACTTCTGAAAGGGGGTAAGGATCATATCTGTAAGTACAAATATTTACCAGTAAGGAAACAGTGAGTGTACAGAAAAAGCAGGCTGTGAGCACTCAAAGAATTTGTAAATCCAGGTCCTGCTAGAGGCGATGAAAGAATTCTGAGAACGTAAAAAGTTTGTGCCAAATCACAAGTAGCTACTACCACACAGTTTGTATTTTCTTAGCTTTAGGTCCTATATGTTTGGTGTCCACATACGATGAAAATCAAAATACAATTTAATAATTTTTATTTTTTAAAAAAATTTTCTTAACTAAACCAGAGTGGACTTTTTGCTACTTTCACCCTTGAGTTCTTTTGGTCAATTCACATTTATTCAATAGTGTGAAATCAAACCTTAATTAAAAACATTATTGATGTCTTTTGCTTTTGTATCATAATCATTTCTAGACATATTCCTCTCTGTTCCCCATGCTTGAATCTTCCCCGACAAAAAAGTAACAGAAAACAAATTTGAGCAAAAACAACTGATCCAGTGACCTTAGCCAAAAATGTATTTGACATTCTACTTTAGCAGTTCCCCACTTCTCCTCTGAGAGTGAGTAGGTACATTTTTAAATCTATTCCAGAGGATCCTTGTCTGCTTTTTAATGACTTAGAGTCTTTCCCTTTAGTGACTTTGTATTTTACATTGTTGTAGTCATGAAATCATAGATATAGAGAGGGAAGGGGCCTCAGGTGCCACCTTGTCTGACTTCCTGGTTTTACTTACAGATATGGAACCTGGGGCCCATGGAGGTTAGGTGACTATCCCAAGGTCACTTGGGTAGCAAACATAGGGGAAGATATTTAAATCCAGGTCTCTTAACTCCCTTGCTAGTGCTGATTCATTGCACCACAAGACAGGCATTGTGTAACTATGGTTCTCTTTATCTCACTCATGTTGGGCCATACAAATCTTCCCACATTTCTATGAATTTCTTACATTCATCTTTTCTTACTAAGTAACAATATTCCATTACTCTGATATGGTAGAATTTGTTTGGATTTCCTTTCCATCTACCTGTTTTGTTGCCAGTTTTTTTTTTTTTGCCACAACACAAGGTGTTGTTATGAATATTTTGGTTCTTGGTTTTTTTCTTTTACTTCTCCAAGGAAGAGCTGGACTGAATTCTGCTGAATGTTTAACCCCTGAATGATGTGAAATTTTAGCAACTCTTAGGAAAGGGGGTATTGGGAACTCAAGTTGAATGCAAGAATTTGCTAAGAATATTATAGCATTTGGAAATCAAAAGATGTTTATTGCCTCAGAAGTAGGTTGAAGCCATTTTGTTTCTGATATATAACAGGTACAATCTGATCGACCACAACATCTGCCAGTAGGAGGAAAGTACAGCCCCATTTCTAGGGCATTAAAGGCTGGCAGACACATTGTATCTAAATATTTTGATGGGTCTGTGATCTCAGCAGACTGGACATTACCTCATTCAGTACTGATTATAGTTCCTTCACACCTTTTTCCAACAGGTGTGATTTTTGTTCAAGTCCTTTGCAAATCCTTCACAAAGGACCCATCCAGTGTCCTAGAGACCTTCACTGCCCATTGAGCTGTCCTATCAGAATGTAAGTTCCTTGAGTGTAAGAATTTTCTCACTTTTATCTTTATATCCCCAGTGCTTAGCACAGCCCCTGACAATAGTCTAAGCATTTGTCAGTGTATTTTACATTCATTCATTCATTCACTCATTCATTCATCCCTTTTCCATATCTTGAAGGTGTCAGTGTAGGATCTGATTATCCACCTCTTGTTTTTCATCCTTGTCACATGATCAGCCCAACTTCTTTTCTGATACTCCACGGCCTTTACTAAGTCATTTCTCCTGTACTGGGAACATGTTGCAATACCCTAATACTCAAAACATATCTTTCCATTGCTCTTTGGGTCACTTTTGGTCGATTCTTCAGAGACCACGGTTTTTGATAATGTGGTAAAATATTACATACTTTAAAATAATTTGCATTAAAAAAGATAAGACTTTTGCAACAAGAAACAACTTGGTGTCACTGAAAGCATCATTCAGTTCCCCAAATACAAACTGGCTCTATATCCTTCTCAGCTCTGGGTTCTGTTATTGTCTGTTTTTGATACCCACCCAAGACTGGAATAATCATAGACTAACTCAATGAACTTGTTAGCTCAACTATGTATTATAAGTGTCTTGGCATGACGGAAAGAGTTCTGGATTTGGAGTTGAAAGGACCTTGGTTCAAATCTTAGCTTTCAACCGCTTACTAATTGGGCAACCTTAGAAGGTCAATCTTTCTGGGTCTCCGTTTCTTTTTCATTCAAAAAATGATAGAGAGTTGGATGATTCCTTAGGTCTGTTCTAGCATTAAATCTATGATCTTATGACATTAGGAATGGGTTTTTTTCCCCACCCTGACTGTGTTTGTAGTATGGACAGTTAAATTGATCTCTTTTGAAAATCATAAATTTCACTGAGGAGGCTCTGGGTGTGTCTGGGCTCAGTGCAATTAGTACCACGATATTTACTAACAGGAGCATTTGGAGAGTTCAAATCTGGCCTCAGGCACTTGATTGCTGTCTGACCCTGGGCAAGTCACTTAACTCTGTGTGCTTCAGCTTCTCACCTGTAAAATGAGCTAGAGAAGGAAACGGCAAACCACTCCAGTAACTTTGCCAAGAAAACCCCAAATAGGGTCACTAAGTAGGACTTAACTGAAATGACTGAACAACAAAAACATTTGGAGAATCTTGTCATCAGTAGGAAATCCCTCTCTCATTGTTAGTATATTTGAACAAGTTGTCAAAATGCATTTCATTGAGTCTGGTTTTTTTAACAGATGAATGATTTTTTCATGCAGGAAACTCCGTTTGAAGAAACCCCTCAACTAATGCAGACTTGCAATTTAGAATCTTATAGAGTTGCCTTGGGAACAGAGAAGTTCAGTACCTTTCCATACGTCACTCAATCAGTATGTATCAGAGATGGGGACTTGAACTCAGGTGTTTTTAAGAAATCAGCAAATTTTGGTTTGATGTCAGGGAAAATAATGCCTAACAATCAAAGCCCTTAGAAAGTAGAATGGGCTGCCTCTGGAGGCAATAGGATCCCCTTGGTTGTAGGTCCTCAAGCAGATGCTAGATGACCATTTGTAGAGTATGTCATAGTGGGGATTCCTTGAGGATATGAGGTCTTTTCCACTGTTAAATTCCACGATTCTGCCATTTCTACTCAGATTAGACACAAGTTAACTGGCCTTTCTCAGTGAGGCCTAATTCTCATTAGTGACACCCTCAGCATGCTTTCAATGAGGAGCTGCCTTATTAACTTCCACTAGAATGGAAAGTGGCAAATACCCTCCGTCCTGATCTCCTTCAGGGGTGTAATTCTAGGTGGCAGCCCGTGAATTTGAAGCATCAAGTTGCAGAGCAATCGGGTTGTACATTAACACAGCCAAAGTGCGTATGAGGTTGTAGCTTTATTAGATTAGCTAGTATTACATATTATATGCTTGTCTGTTAAGTAAATAAATACACTTAAGAGAAGTCTCAATCCACATAATTATATGACTAGTTTTAACCACTGCACCACACTCAGAGTGATTAGATTTTCTTTTGCTTGCGCCAATGCAAATCGGTTGGGTGGGGGTGGGGTGGAATTTCGGTGGGGTGGGTAGGAATGGGTTCTTTTTCTAGGGCTTTACTGCTCTCCTTTGAAAAACCCAATAAGAAACCAATGACAAGTAATAGTAATGACTCTGAAGAACATCTAAGCACCTTGGGGATCCTGCGGTTCCCAAGTGAATGTGTTCCAATATTGAATATTTGTTAACAAATAACTCCCGGTTTATCTTAGAAAGAACAAAGAGATACCAGGGAAAAAGAGGAAGAAGCGAGGGTTGGTTAGGACAGGAGATGAGGGACTGTGGGATTGAACTAGTATTTCCTAGCTATTCGATTGTGGCGCTCCGGCTCGGTTTCGATCAAGAAGGATGGATGAAAAGGAGTTGAAACAGGGCTAGGCACGATTGGGGCACGGACAAGGAAAGAGCCAGTTGCGGTGCTGGCACACTAAAGAGGTGGTGAAGTGAGAAGGAAAGGAAGGGAACCAGGATTGCGAAAAGCTTCTCCAGGCGCAGCCCTCCATCCTCTACCCCCACTGCCTTTTGCTCCCCTAAATGTCCGAGCACGTGCACAAGCAGCCTGGGGTAAGGTTTTGTTGTGTTGTTGTTGTTTTCCCTGCCAGGCTGGCTCCCAGGGTCGGTCAGCCCTACTCCTCGGTTGCAGCCTTCCTTACATCTCCTCCGGGCTCCCCCGCGGGCGCGGGCAGGGAGCGCGCGGAGCCCCGGCGGGGGCGGGGGCGGGACACAGCTAGAAAGGATCTCTGGCCGCTTTCCAGGTCGGCGCACTAATACGGGCGATGAGGCTTCGAGGCTCCAGCCTGACTGACGCCGGTCGGGGCTGCTGGGGCTGCTGCTGCTGCTGCTGTTGCTGTTGCTGCCGCTGCCACCGATGCCTCTGCAGCCGCTGCCCTGCCGCTGTCTGTGTCTCTGCCGCCGCCAGGCAGCCGGTGCTTACGCCTAGGGGCAGGCGGTGAAAAGCGCTTTAGAGAGGGGGCACGCACAGGGCACCCACCAGAAAGGAAGGGGCAGCAAGAAGAGGGTGGGGGTGGGGGAGTGGCATCACCAGGGACAGGTAAGAGACTCCCCGTACAAATATCTAGAAGTTATGTGCAGTGCCTAAGCTTCGAGAGTGTCTGTGCGCGCGTGTGTTGTGTGTGCGTGTGTTGTGTGCGCTCGCGTGTGTTTATAGGTTGGGGGGAAACGCTTAAGTTTTCCTAAAGCTAGGAGATGCTTTGTCGTTTTGCTCTTGAGCCTTTGACGCGTTTGGGTGGGTGTTTGGGGAGTGATGTAGGGTGAGGAGGAAGGATGACGGACACTGCCTCTTTGTGGGATGCCTTCTTTCAGACCGGGAGTTAGAAACTTGGCCTCTACCCTCGGGTCCTCGGACCTGCTGCTGTTACCTTCTGCACTGCGCATTTCCCTAACTCCTCAAATTTGGCAAATGGCAGCCTGGTCCTCACGAGATCTTGGACGTTTAGTGAATGCTTCCTTTGCGAGATCGCTTGCCAGGAATCCGGGGTGGTGGGCGAGGGAGGGTTGGTTAGCCGCAGGCGGGTGGGCGTCCATTGGAGTGGGTTTAAGCCCCTGCTCTGGCCTTGGGCTTGTGCTGGGATGCTCACTTTCTTTCCCGCCACTGTCCGGGCACCTCGCTGATGCCTCGCACTTCGGGCATATTGTGAACCAAACTGGCGCTAAGTAACAGTTTCCTGTGACTGAGTGTAAAGGAAGGGAAAGAGATGATTAGGAGCGGGGGTCGGATCGTTCGTGTGTGTGTTGTGTGTGTGTGTGTGTGTGTGTGTGTGTGTGTGTGTAGTAGTAGTAGTGCGGTGGGGGTGATTAATTGTAACAGGTGGGTCACCCCCACGTACGGTCCGTTTTGTAAGCTGTTTATTGCCCTTACCTTTGAGACACTCAAAGAAGAAAAGTGAGGAATATTCTTAAGTGTGCCGGAGCTAGCCCTTGGATTCGTTTCACTGGCTGGTGTTTGCCTTTCTCCTTGCCTTTGCAGTTCCTTGCCAGGTCTCTGCTTGGGGGTGTGGTGGGGGTGGGGGAGGTGAGGAGGGAGAACAGATACATGAGACAAACTGACGCCAGTATTGTGATCGAAAGGAGGAGCACAAGGGAAAACATTTTTATGGATGGCTAATCGCTGACAAGTCTTCCCGTTATTATTCTCCCCCCCCCACGTAGAAATTCGACATGACAGCTTAGAAATACTACATTGGCTCGAGTTATTTTCTTTGCTCAAAATGGGACCCCTGAGAAACAGCTTACAAATGAAATAGATTAAATTTTGGTGTAAAATTACTTATATAAGTCATCCCTTACCTCATAATTCACAAGTTGATGTAAACAGATAGTGCTGGGTGAATTTCTCTTAATGGATCCAATTTACTGCTACCATTTTAGTGGTTTGCTGAATTTCTTGGATTGTTTTAGGAATGTGATTTACCAAGAATAATGGTAGATAACAGTGGAGGTAATTAATACTGTCACCTGTGGCAGGTTTGTACACCTTTCCATGTTAAGGTGGTAGTCCTGTCTTGCTTAAGCAGATATCATTGTGAGGGGTAAAATCAGATGTTTCCATTTTAAAAATAGATATTCTATATTTAAAAAGGAATTAAAAATAAAACCAAAATAATTTTTGGCCCAAAATAGAAAACTTCCCAATGAATGAATTTTCCTATGCTTGAAGAAGTAGGAAACCATGAACAAGATTCTGAAATATGTTCAAGCTGTGGTTGTCCAAGAAGGCTACAGCAGATAAGAAAATGATGAGATAGTTTATAAATAATGGCCATCTAAAAATATTCATGACAAATACATTTTGGTGTCACCAAAACAATTTTAAAATATAATCAGAGAAATGCAGACCTTTAGGAGGAAAACATCTCATCTTTGATGGCAAGACAATGTCTGCACCCAATGGTCATTTTATTAATCTGCTGTGATAGAGAAGCTCCTTTCTGGCTGGCTAAGTGAATTTGCCAGATGCATGGAGATTAGTGCTGATAACGTTTAGAGAACTCCAATGATTCTTGACATGAATAAACATATATTTTAAAATAATGGTATCATATACTTAACAGAAAATCATTTGTATCTATATATCTATAGACAAACATAAAATAATTCCAGGTTAATTCTAAAAATGCCAAATAATTATCATTTCTTAGTTGTCCTGTGATGTCAGTGGAAGCTAGCTTAGTTTCTTTTCCTTTATTCTATTTTTATTTGACTTTAAGAATTTCAAACTAACGATAGATTAAAGATCCCCAGCTACTGAATTCAATAAAAGTATTTTGGCTAAGATGTTGAGTGAGAACAATGATGTTTGCAAGTAAGATTCCATTAGAGACTGTTTCAAAAACAACAGAATGATAAATTAGTTTGTTTAATTCAGTCTAGCAGGTGGTCAATTCAACCATTTCAGGAAACATTTACTTATGAAGTACCTTCTGAGTGCAGAGCAATTGTTGAGAGAGATATAAGAATCAAATCTGACTGTCTTTGAGTAGAGGATAGAGCACTGAATTTATAATCAGAGGAAGCAGAGTTCAGTTATTAGCTCTGCCAATTACTTGGAAAGTCACTTCCTAACTTTCCATTATTCAATGTTATTGGTTTCTTTGCTGTTACTCACATAAGACACTCACTCCTTCTCTTGAATCGATGAATTTTTCCTAGATGTCCCCCATAGCTGGAATCCTCTCTCCTCTCACCCTTACCTCCTGGCTTCCCTGACTTTCTTCAAGTTTTAGCTAAAATTCCACCATCTGCAAAAAGCCTTTCCCAGTCTTCCTTAATGTTAGTGCTTTCCCTATGAGACTGTCTCCATTCTCCACCCCCCCCTCACTTTCTCTCTCTCAGTCACTCTCATTCTCACTCTTTCTCTATACATAGTTTTTTGGATGTTGTCTCCTCCTTTAGAATGTGAGTTCCTTGAAGGAAGGGACTGTTTTTGCCTTTTTTTGTGTCTCCATTCCTTAGCACAGTGCCTGGAAAAAAAATTGAGTGCTTCATAAATGTTGGTTGACTGACAGACTTATTTAACATCACTAGGTCTTCCATCCTTCAGATGTAAAATGGAAGGCTTGGATTAGATGATCTCAGAGGTCCTTTCTAGTTCTAAACCCTGTGATCCCTGTTTTCATAGAGCATTCAATCTAATAATAGTATAACATATATAAAGAATTAAAATATACACCTTACATAATCAGTTTATAAGTGCTAAGGGGGGCTTATGAGATAAAAGGGGAATAGGGAATCAGGAAAGGCTTTGTGGTAGAAGTGTCATTTGAATTGAGTCTTAAAATGAGTAGGATTTCAATAGGTAGAGATGGAGGGGGATAATAAATAAGTTGGTGAGGGCAAATCAATTAAAACAGTAACAACAAAATAGCATTATTTTCATTTTACTAATCTTTCCAACTCCAACTGATAAAAATTTATATCAGTTGCCAAGCTGAAGGGGTGACATTTACTAAGCAGTAAACTATAGCACCAAGATAGGTTGTTTATATCTGTCAAAATTCCTTAGAAAGCAATTTCACTTGTCTGTTTTCTGTGTCAATAACAATAATATATTCCATTAAAGTTTTCTGATTCCTCATGATGTGGAGGTAAGTAGCTTCTTGAAGATTATGCTAGTGAAGCAGAAGCTCTGCCTCATCCTACCAATCTAAAGACTTCAAGGAAGAGATGATGATGATGTCATCAGTCATCTGAGGACCAGTGTTGGCAATGACTTAGAGGTTCTTCACAAATTTGGCCATAACAACTCTCATTACCTCCCTAACAGGGTTGTTGAAAAGAAAGTACTTTGCTAACATTAAAGTGATATATTGTTAGTAAATTTATCATTAATAATTATTAAGTGTTATTATTAATAACCGGTGTTTATAACATTTGCCTTCCCTTGAAAAAAAAAAAGAGGTAGACAGAGATGTGGTGACTTGCCCAGGTTAAAGCTTTGAAAGAATAAAGGTTAAGAATTTTATGTATTATGCCGTGCTGCTGCCCCTCACAGGGTGTGCATAGGCAATGATCTCTCTTGGTGAAAGGACTAACCAATATGCTGAAATCATGGATTTTTGAAGGATTCAAGTAAATAGCAATAACTTAATAATATAGTCTGATATTAAAAAAGCTTATGCTAAATGAAGAAATGATACTAGTCAGATTATAGAATAGTTGCACTGTGTAAGATGTTAGAGATCACTTTGTCAAAACACCTGCTTTTACGGTTGAATTCATGTGAGAGATGAAATGATTTGTCCAAAGTCACAAAGCTGGTTAGTGGAAGAGCCAGTACTTAGACTCTCAAGTTATCAGACTCCCTATCCAATGCTCTTCACCTTATACTATGCAGCCTCTTCCTTGGAAATAAAATCGTTTCATTTCCAAATTAGCAAAATGTTTACTGAAAAACATTGAACTTCTACTGCATTAGTAAAGTAGATAGAAAACTTGTGGTTGATTGTTTTATACCTAGAGAGACATTCAGAAAAAGGAAGTGTTCTGAATTTTAAAAAAAGTAAATATAGCAAAACTATGAAAATGTGTGTCTGTACAAATAATTGTAATTCTAAACTGTCGGATTTATTTTTTCTTGGTGTTACTAGTGAGTTAAACACATCATAATTAAAGTTAGCCTACAAGAATGGTGAAATTCACAACTTGCTTATTATGACAGTGTGAAAGCTTTTGTGAATGTTTTTTAATGTTAATCCAGTGAAGGTCCATGTCATGGATGCTGGCATAAAGAAAAATATACAAATATTTCCTGGCAATAAACTAATCTTTTAAAATAAATATTCCTGTAAGTTATGCTTCTTTAGAAACTTCTTACCAAGGCAGATTGTTAAGATCTCAAGATATTTTGTTAGTATTAGTATTCATAGACATAAAAATATGGATGTTAATCTTTCCTAGTAGTTTGCCTCCAGACTCTCCCTTCTCCAATCTATTCTACATACCATTGCCAGATTAATCTTTCTAAAGAATTACTTTGTATGTCACTACCCTGCTTAAAAAATTTTTGATGGCTCTGTTTGGCCTACCAAATAA